ACATTGGCTCAGCAGTTACCATGCCCCTGGGACACCCGCATCCCATATCAGAGTGCCTGGCTGCAAGCCCTGACCCTGCTACTGATTCCAGCTTCCTGCTATGCTGTACCCTGGAGGCAGCAGAACATAGCTCAAGTACATGAGTCCCTGTCACTGTGTGAGGGACCGGAGAGGGTTCTGGGACTCTGGTTTTAGCCTGGCCTGGCCCTGGGCTGTTGTTAGCATTTTAGGGGGTGAACCGGCAGGTGTTTCTCTGCATTCCAAATAAGTAAACTTAGTCAATAAAAAGTTTTTTAAAAAATGCCAGTGCTTCCTGACATCTCTCTGTGTTATGCACAGATTTTTAATTTTTAATTATAAACGGGCTGAATCTCCTTTGTTTCCATTGGTTCCAGCATCTAGGACAATAGCTGATACAAAGAAGGCATTTGAGAACTACTTCATAGGACACTTTTGGATGAAAACTGTCTCAAAGCCAACAACAACGTGTTCTCACTATTATTACAAGTGACTTTGGGACAACTGTGTGGATTTCAGGTACCCTGGGGGGTGGGGAGGGCAGGATAAGGGAGGGTGGGAGACCCTGGGGAAAGCAGAGTTCTCAACTCACATTGCTAAGGAGCCCCAAGGGACAGCCAGGTCTCTCAGTGACAAAAGGACCCGACCAAGATGCAAGCACTTGGCTGAGCGCTCAAGCCACTGCTCTGGCTGCTGGCATCCCCTACTGCAGTATCTGGGATCCGGTCGCGGCTCTACTTCCCACCCAGGTTCCTATTGGTGATGGCTCAAGACCCTGGGTCCCTGCCTCCCACGTGGGAGACCCAGTTTGAGTTCTTGGCTCCTGGCTTCAGCCTGGCATAGCCCTGACTGTGGTGGGCATTTGGGCAGGGAGTTAGCAGATGGGATGTCTGCCTCTCTTTCTGTTTCTCTGCCTTTCAGATAACTATGATTAAAGCCAAATGGACCTAACAAGTGTCCTAAGACCGGATCTTCCTGTTTCAGGTAGCCAGAGGACTAAGCAAGCTGCCGCCAGCACTCTTCTGGGTCTCTGCTGGTGGTGGCGATTTTAAAGGGACAACGAACAAGGTCCCTGCCGGGAGGAAGGCAGCTCTGTCACCATTCCTAGGGGTTCCCCAACCACCCTCCCTCCCTCTCCCTCCTCTCACCTCCCCCCTCCCACCCCTGCCTGGGGTCAAGGCCAATGTCTTATCTCAGCCAGCTCTCTTCCGTCTGCCCTGACCACGCTCAACTCCCTTCTGGACCTGGTGTCCCTGGGTGAACGTCCCCCTGCAGCCCCTCCCCACAGAAACAGGCGGAGGTGGGCATCTGCTCCTTTTCAAGCCCCTCCCTGGCTGCTGAGGGCAGGGGTGGGGAGTGGAGTCCAGCCTCCCAGGGCCAGGATTTGGGGCTTCCTTGAACTGGAGCCACCCTCTTCCCCTGTCCCCTGGGCTGTACGTGTGCGTGAGGAGCAGAGACCATGGACAAGTGCTCCTGCTTCTCTCATCAGTAGCTTCCTGGAGACAGTGTGGCTGGAGCCGGTGAGCCCCAGGCTGGGCTGGGCTGTGACCCCCGGGCTGCAGCAGCAGGCCTGGACCTCCGCAGCCCCCTTGCCTTCCCTTTCTGCCCTTCTCTTCCCTTTCGGGCTCTTCCTCCTGTCATCTTCTTACTCCAAGCCTCATGGACTGCAGACTCTCCAGAAAGCAAGAGCCCCTTCCTATGCTTGTCCCTGTGGGCTCAGGGCCACAGAGCAGGTCCAGGCTGGGCCAGGCAGGGAGGCAGGGCCTGCAGCAGCCGAGCAAAGAGGCTGAGACAGGTGCACTGCTCCTCTGGCAGCTCCCTGAGGACAGCTGACCTCCAGGGTGGCAGGGCACGGGGCTGCCCCCTGGGGGGGTCTCCCTCCTCTACTTGGGATGTTCCTGATGCTGGTTTATTTTTTTTTTTGTATTTATTTATTTATTTTTGACAGGCAGAGTGGACAGTGAGAGAGACAGAGAGAAAGGTCTTCCTTTTCCGTTGGTTCACCCCACAGTGGCTGCTGCAGCCGGCACACCGTGCTGATCTGATGCTTTTTTGCCTTGAGGTCTGGTGCCTGGACTTGGGCCCTTCCTTCTGGGGCGGGGTGGGGAGTGGCAGAAGGGACCGGCTCAGGAAGAACGAAAGGCCATCATCTGCCACCTGCTGGCTGCCTTCAAGTTTCCAGCAAACTCTTGGAATTTTGCTGTGATTACTGTGACCTTGAAATTCAAGACCTCCATCCTCAGTGTGTCCCCCCCGCCCAGCCCCCTGCCTTGAGGGGCCACCCTTTTCATTGTCCCCATGTCCCCTTCCCTCTGTTCACCCCATTTGCGGGAGCAACAAAACCCCACGGGGACCTGTGTGAGAAGAGGGCTCCGACAGAGACAGTGCCTGACCCACGGGGACTGTGTGCTGGCAGGGGGCTCCCGGGCAGTGCCACAGCCAGGCTCCAGAGAGGGCCTCCCTAAAACTCCTCCCCCACACCCCCTGTACCCACAGGGGCTCACCTTTTCCCTCTGCGTAAGGCTGACCCATTTGTGCTTGTGATGGAATGAAAATGCCAAGGAAAGACACACGGCAGGTTGTGCCCAAATAGGAAACGCGCATCCACAGAGAACCAGGAGCTTCTGCCAACCTCCCAGGCAGGGGCCTCTCCCCTCCCCGCACTGCAGACCCGCGGTCCCCAGGCTGCCCGGCTGGGGAGGAGGGGCACCGTGGCTGAGGAGTCTGCCTCTGCTCCAGGCGACCCATCACCATCACTGTCACCCAGCCCTTCCCAGCAAGAGCGCTGGGGGCGGGGCCCTGCGGTGGGGGTGCTTTGGATATGAAGTCATCTCCCACAGAGAAGCGGCAGCCACGTTCTGCACGGCCCACTGGCAGTCTGGGATGCCTGCCCAGCACCAGGAGAGTGTCTAAAAATGCCCAAACCCGCCTTGGGATCTCAGGAGGCTGTTGGAGGACGCCCCAGGAGTTAGCTGGTGCCCGGATGACCGCCTACTCCTGCCGCTGCGTGCTGAGCAGGGAGCCCAACCCAGCCTCCCCAGACTCTGTGTGTTGCTGGGTGATCTGATGCCTACAGACAGGCAGGCCACTGGCAGCGGCACCTCCAGCACCCCAGTACCTGGCTGATCCCTGGGTACTGTGCTAAATAGAATTGAAACTCCAACGAGGTGTCAGGGGAGGCATGCCCAGGAAGGCACCATTGCTGCCTCCATGGGAGACAGAGGTCTGGCATTCAGCCCAAGACATGTCCTTACCCAATGCAAGGCAGGGAGTCAACAGCCGGCAAGGAGTGTGGCAGTGCGGGAGGTTTGAAGGGCCGCGGGATCGGCGCTTGGCATCACCCGGGGGACAAGAGCTATGGGGTGAGCAAAGCCACACTTGGCAGAGGGAGCGGGGGCACACAAGGGGGACACAGTGTGTCCTAGTATACAAAGAACTTAAGGACGCGGAGCCAGCCAGTGAGGATTCAACAGACACAGTGGAGAAAATGGGCTTTGGGGGTGGAGGGCATGTGCAGGGAGGGGGTGGTGGAGTGACTCTACCTTGACCTTGGGCAGCTTCCCCTAATAAATAATGATTGAAGGGAGGCCTGCTTGGGTGCAGAGCTGGGGGTTGGGCGGGACAGAATTCAGAGTAGGAAGATTGCATTGTCCAGTCACCTGTTCCCAGGCAACCGAATCCTTTTCCTCCCACATCCTCCAAGGCCAGGTTTCTTTTCAACTCAAGGAATTCCAGGGGTGTCCTTGTTCAAATTCACATGCAGCCAAAGTCCTTTCCTACACCCTTGCCTAGGCACCAGCCATGTCAGCTGGTGGGCAGACCTGGGCCATCTTCTCCACTGCTCGGACCGTGGGAACCTGATGCTTCGGACCAGGAAGGAACTCAAGGGATGGTCCCAGTCCTGCAGTTATTATTTGTTGATTGATTTATTTAGTGGCTAGTGGCAGAGAAAGGAGAGGAAAAAGAGAGAGAGAATGAGTTCTCCCATCTGCTGGTTTGCCCCCTCAAATGCCCACAACAGCCGTGGATGGGCCAAGGGCAAAGCCAGAAGCTGGGAATTCAATTCGGGTGTCCCAGGTGGATGGCAGGAACCCAACTCTGCAAGCCATCACCACTGCCCCCGGGTTCTGTATTAACAGAGAAGCCAGGAGTGGGAGCCAGGCGCTTGGTGTGGGACGCAGGCATCCTAACAGCCCCGCTTCACTTTGTAGATGGAGAAAGCACAGCCCAGAGCAGGACAGTGGCTTACTCAACGTTACACAGCCCTGCAGGTGTGGGGCAGGGTGGGGCTTTCGTCATTCCTCCCAGCGTCCCGCCCACTGCTGCAGCCCTTCATCCTCTCCTCCTCTGTCCCCTTTGCTAAGATGTGCCCACTTCCCTTCCTATGTGTCCCTGGTGCCTTCCGAGGGCTCCTCTCCAGGTTTCCCCTGTGTCACAGTGGGCCCAGCCCTGCTCCAGCACAGACTGATCAGCTCCGAGCCTGGCTAGGAACCCAGAGCCGGGACCTCCCCACTGCCCCAGGCCCGAGCACTCTCTAGAATGCAGGACTCACACTAGAACCCGCCAATTGGAGGTCAGGGAGCTGGGTGTCTGTGCCTCATGGGTGGTGCTGGGTGGCAGCAGTGTGCTACACAGGTGTCTCTCAGACCCCAGCACAACATCTTCGGACAGCTGTGGGGCGGCAGTTCCCAGCCAGGGCTGGTTTTGACACCCAGGGGACGTGGGGCAGGATCTCCGGTCATTTCCACTTGTCGGAGGTTGCTCTGGCGTCTGACGGACAGCAGCCAGGGAAACCTCGCACAGGACATCCCCCAGGCAAAGAGCGATCTGGCCCAAAGCAGGGCTGAGATGAATGAAAGTGTGGAATTACTTCTATACAGACATGGGTTGCGCTTCCAGAAAGGAACCTGGGCCATGGATTGGGAAGCTGACCAGCAAAGAGACCACGGTGACCAAGAGCAACGAGCCACATGGGGGTCTGATAAGTTGAAAACTTTTTATTTCAATTCTATCCTTAGGAGGCAGCATAAATAATCACAGAAGACCATGAGGTCAGTGGGGAAGAAAAAAAAAAAGCGTGGAGGTGTGTGGTGGGGAGATGAGAGCTAATGCAGTCCATCTGTGGGCTGGGGGCAGAGACCCTGCCTGAGCCGGCTGGAGAGGGGCAGGGGTCTTGGAGGGGTGAGGGGCTCCTCCCTGCCCAGCTCACCTGGCCTCTGCACACAGGCTGTCCTGCAGGGTGGCCAGGGCAAAGCAGGCGTGGCTACAGCGCAGCAGGTACCTCCTGGCTCCAGAGAGTGAAGCGTGGACACCCGTTTCTTAATCCTCAGATCTCGCCCCACAAACTGTGACTTTTCTGAGAACAGTGACTCTGGGCTCTGCATGGAGTGGAAATGAAAGGCGGAGAGAAAGAAGGAAAAACAAAACAGAAGGGAAACGTGGAGAGACCCCATGCAACGCGGCAGCGTCCCAAGGTGGGGTGCGCCCCTGGGCTTCCGCAGACGTGGGGCTCGGTGAGATCCTCCGTGTAAACGTTAAAGTGCTGTACGGATGCGAGTGACCGAGGTCGTTCCACGGGGCTAAGGCTGGAAGTGGCTGAGATCGCGGAGTGGGGGACACGCTGTGCACGCCCGGAAGCCACCGGGGAGCCCTGTTCTGCCTGCCCCAGGGCCAGGCTCCACCTTTCTCAGCCTCAGCTGCCAGGAGGAAGAGGCCTCATCTCAGGGGGAGCCCCCCGGGGGCACGAGCAGAAGCAGAAGGTGTGGACACGTGAGGGGCCTCAACGGGCAGTGTGGCATGTTGGCACGGCCGGTGTTGGGCAGACGGGAGGTGTGGCTTCCAGTCCTTTCTGGGGAAGCCCATGGTAGGGTTGGCAAGGCCCTGGGAAGTGGGGACCGGACAGCCAGGGGCCTGGGCCTGACCTGCTGGGTGACTCAGTAAGTCGCTTCCCCTCTGGGACCCTCAGTTCTGTCACTTGTCACGTGAGCCTGCCCTGCCTGGCTCACCAGTTAAGTGGGAAAAGGGTGTGCAAGAGCTCTGAGCAGAATCACGGGAAGGCAAGGGGTCATTATGGCCTTGGAGAGCATCCTCTGGATTCCCTGAAGACAAGGGGACCGGGGGCGGGGAGAGACAGAGCGACGCTGGAGGGCTCAGGGGGCCTGCAGTCCCCTCCCCTGCGGGAGGGCCAAGTTCAAGTTCTAAGTCTAGCTGTGGCCCCGCCTCCTCCTCTGTCCATAGAGAGTCTGCGGTCCTCACCCCGCAGAGGGGAGGCCTGGTCCCAGGGGGCGCCGGGGGCGGGGGCTGTGGCAACGAAAGGGGCTGCCCGCTAGGGGCGTCCAGGAGAGGCGGGGTCAGAAGTTCAAAGGTCTGCTTCCGGTTCACGGCCGGCTCCAGTCCTGGCTCTGTCTCTGGGGGCGGTGGAGAAGGGGACGGTAAGGGGTCAGCTCGGCCGGCAGCCCCCGCGGGAGCTAGCAGTTCTTGGGGCTGTTGCGCAAGTTCTTCAGCTCCAGCTGCAGCTGCCGAATGCGGATGTCTTTCTGGGTGAGCTCCTCTTTCAGCCGCCGGATCTCGTCTTGCTGCCGGAAGAACATGCGGAGGAGCTGGGGGCGGAGAGCGCGCGGGTGAGAAGGGGAGTGTGGGGGGGTGTCTCCCGCCCCCACGCTCGCCCCGCCCCGCCCCGGCTCTGCCCTCCTCCCCTCCCCCCTGCCTGCCCCGCCTTAGGCTCCCCGCCCGCTCATCCTCTTCTCCACCGTCCCCTGTCCTGGCCCAGCCACATTCATAGATGCTGGGTACCCGAGGCAGGAGCGAGGCTGCACGGTCCAGTTTTCCAAATTTCCCAAGCTTACACCCTCAAGGGACCAAACCTAGGGCTTCTTCTCTCTCTCTCTCTCTCTCTCTCTCTCTTTTAGTATTTTCTTTTCTCTTCCCTGTTTTAAAAATTTATTTATTTGAAAGGCGCAGTTACAGAGAGAGAGGGAAGGAGAGACACAGACAAAGACGTCTTCCAACCTCTGGTTCACTCCCCACATGGCCGCAACTGCCAGGGCTGGGCTGGGCCAAAGCCAGGAGCCAGAAGCTCCATCTGGGTCTCTCACATGGGTAGCAGGGGCCCAAGCACTTGGACCGTCTTCTGCTGCTTTCCCAAGTGTGCTAGCAGGGAGCTAGATGAGAAGTGGAGCAGCTGGGACTCGAACCCTCGACACCACAATGCTACTCCCCATCCCTGCTCTTTTTACCCTTTTGGATGGAACCCCCTATACCCCTCCATCTCTGCTCAGGGAGGCTCAGGGCTTGGATTGGAGCCTGGTCTGCTCCCTGGTGCGGTGTGGCCCCGACAGCAACATGGACGTTGGTGCTGGGCGGTGATGCGTTTCCTGGGGTGGCCGTGCAGACCTGCACTGAAACGACCCCCAGACTAAGCACAGCTGCCCAGAGGCTCTGGCTGAGACCTGCAGTCCCCTGTGTGCTCTCCGACTCCCTGGTGTGAATTGCTGTTGGGGAACTTAATTAACTAGGTTATAAAAGGATGAAAGGGGTAGGAAGAGAGAATTTACATAAAAACTGAGTTGGGGACAGGTGCTTTGATCTAGCAGGTAAAGCCGCCTGTCTGAGGCGCTGGCATGTGTATATGAGGCCCGGCTGCTCCACTTCCCATCCTGCTCTCTGTTAATGCACCTGGGAATGCAGTAGAAGATGGCCCAAGTCCTTGGGCCCCTGCACCCACGTGGGAGACCTGGAGGAAGCTCCTGGCTCCTGGCTTCTGATCAGTCCAGCTCTGGTGGTTGTGGCCATTTGGGGAGTGAACTAGCGGATGGGAGATCGATCTCTCGATCTTTCTTTCTCTTTCTCTTTCTCTTTCTTTCTTCTCTCTCTGTAACTCTGCCTTTCAAATAAATAAATAAATCTTTAAAAAGAACTGAGTTAAATACTTTAGAAAAATCTTGATCCAGGTGATGAGGCAGACATGGCTCGAACCGCAACAGGTTGGTGCACATTCCGCGTGTTGCTTGCGTGTGCGTGGTGCAAACTCACAGAACTCTGCACCACTATGAAGTGTACCAGCAGGAAGTGATGCCCGGTCACCTGTCTCAATTAAAGCCTGGGGAAAACATGGTGAAAACCAGGGCTTTGCTTCCTGGTACTTTAAGTTCTTGTTCCACCTAAAAGCAGCAAACCCAACGCCTGCAGTGGAGGGAGATGTGACAAAGACATGGCAGATTCCACCCGGGGAGGTCTCGTCCAGAGCAGGTCTGTTGCAACAAAATACGATGAAGCCGTGCATATGTTTTGTGTTTTATGTTTTAAATGAAAATCAGGGTTTAAAGAATGCATGTATCATTTTTAGGATTCCTCCTTTAAATTATTTTTAAAAAAGTAGACTTCTTTACTTGAAAAGCAGAGGGGGAGAGAGAAAGAGAGATGAGATACCTTCCATCCGCTGGTTCACTCCCCAAATGGTAACAACAGCCAGGGCTGAGCCAGGCGGAAGCCAGCAAGGAGCCTGGAGCTCCATTCTTGTCTCCCATGTGAGTGGCAGGGGTCCAAGTGCTTAGACCCTCCTCCGCTGCTTTCCCAGGCGCATGAGCAGAGAACTGGATCAGAAGTGGAGCCACCGGAGCTCGAACCAGGCACTGAGAGATGGGATGCCGGCACTGCACATGGTGGTGAACCTGCTGCTTCCCAATGCCCACTCCAGTCCTGGCTACTTCTGTTCAAAAGGACGGCGCGCTACGGTCCTTACACTGGATCATTCCACACTTACCTTACCCAAGAGGCCAAGAAGTGACACACTGGATCATTCTATACATTCTTGTGCCTTCCAAGTCCAGAAAATTCTTTGCATAGTTTTTTCCCCCTTTTGGTCTGCTTTTGTCAAAATACAGCTTCCTGAGGTACAATTCATGTCGAGCTGGACAAGCCTGGGTCTTTTCCTCCTCGTCACACCATCATCAGTGGTTTCCTAACCCCGGGATCCCGTGTCTCCCATTCACAGCCACGCTTCCTGCCGGGTTGCCCACAGCAGACTGGGGCACCCTGGGTGCAGACTGGGGGCAACCCAAACTCCGCAGGATCTCAGGAGGGGTCTTCCCCAGGACAGGGACGCATCACAGCATCTGTGTCGCCTGCTCAGAGCCCCTTCAAACTTCCCTGCCGGCTCTCAGTTCTGACTCACAGAGACAAGTCCATGGCTAGTTGTCATCTGATTTAACTTCTGTGCAACGGTGCCTTCTCCCCACCCCATGCCAGAACCAAGTTCAGGGCCTTGCTGTTGCCCACCTGGGCTATTGCAGCAATCCACATATGTCCATGTATCGCTACCTTCAAAAAGTAGGGCACTTGGGGGCCGCTATCGAGGTGCAGCCGCTTGAGCTGCTGCCTGCGATGCTGGCATCCCATGTGGGCATGGTCGCCGGTTTGAGCCCAGCTGCTCCACTTCCCATCCAGCTCTCTGTTAATGGCCTGGGAAAGCAGTAGAAGATGGCCCAAGTCCTTGGGCCCCTGTACCCACATGGGAGACCTGAAGGAAGCTCCTGGCTCCTGGCTCTGGATTGGCTCAGCCCTGGCCATTCTGGCCATCTGGGGAGTGAACCAGTGGAGGATGGAAGATCTCTCTTGCTCTCCCTCTCTCCTTCTGTCTCTGTAACTCTGCCTTTCAAATAAATAAAATAAATCTTTAAAAAATAAAAAAATTTAAAAAGGGAGCTTTTTTTAAAAAAAAAAAAGGAAAACGTTAACTAGATACAGAAGCAGAAAGAGTTGCATCATGGGCCAGTGCCGCGGCTCACTAGGCTAATCATCCACCTAGCGGCGCCGGCACACCAGGTTCTAGTCCCGGTCGGGGCGCTGGATTCTGTCCCGGTTGCCCCTCTTCCAGGCCAGCTCTCTGCTGTGGCCCAGGAGTGCAGTGGAGGATGGCCCAAGTGCTTGGTCCCTGCACCCCATGGGAGACCAGGATAAGTACCTGGCTCCTGCCATCGGATCAGCGCGGTGCACCGGCGGCAGTGCACCGGCCGCGGCAGCCATTGGAGGGTGAACCAACGGCAAAGGAAGACCTTTCTCTCTCTCTCTCTCACTGTCCACTCTGCCTGTCAAAAAAAAAAAAAGTTGCATCGTGAACCCTCAAGTGCCCCATCACCCAGCATCAGCAAAGAATCTGTGTCTGCTCTTGCTTCACCACTGCCCCCCCCCTACCTCCCCTGCACAGCCCCTCCCAGTCCCTCCCTCAGGAACGGCTTGGAAGCAAATCCCATTTATTACGTGACCTCCTCTGGCCTGAGAAATCTGAGCATCTTGCCACATGGGCACACAAAGCGTATTTGTGGCAACTCTTGGCCACTTGTCAATCTTCGCCTTAAGATCTCAGAGGTCAAGAACAGTCTGATTCTTATTAAAAAACAATTTTACTTTAAGTTGATGGAGCAGGTCACTGCTAAGATTGCCCCCAGGTTATTTATTTATTTATTTTGACAGGCAGAGTTAGGCAGTGAGAGAGCGAGAGAGAGACAGAGAGAAAGGTCTTCCTTCTGTTGGTTCACCCCCCCAAATGGCTGCCATGGCCGGTGCACTGCGCCAATCTGAAGCCAGGAGCCAGGTGCTTCCTCCTGGTCTCCCATGTGGGTGCAGGGCCCAATCACTTGGGCCATCCTCCATGGCCTTCCCGGGCCATAGCAGAGAGCTGGACTGGAAGAGGAGCAACCGGGACAGAATCTGACACCCCAACCAGGACTAGAACCCGGTGTGCCGGCGCCACAGGCAGAGGATTAGACTAGTGAGCCATGGCGCTGGCTGCCCCCAGGTTATTACTGCCTGCCCTCAAGGGTGGGCTGGACTTAGGAGCTTGCTTCACTGGACAGAATCTGGATGCCAGTTCCAAGATTCAGATAGAAGACTGTGGCTTTTCCCTTAGACACCCTCGCTTGCTGCCATGCCCCGGGACAGGCCAGCTTCCCGGCTGTGGGCTGCCCCTTGGGGAGAGTCCATGGGATCCATGGGAAGCTGCTGCTCATGGCCCCCTCACTCCTGCCCACAACCACACTGACGCTTCCCCAGTTGAGCCTTCGGATGCAACTGCAGCCCCGGCTGCCAGTGGAACTCTGCTGGAGCCGCAGACGCTTCCGGCAACTGGGAGGTCGCAGCGGTGTAGGGGTTTAGGTCACTGAGTTCTGGGTCAGTTGTACCGCAGCAAGAGGCAGCTAATGCAGGTGGCCCCTCCCTTTGAGCAGAAAGAGCGCTCAACACTTAGGGGTCACCTCTTTGACATTCCCAGCATTTCGCGGCACCATTTCACCAGGAGGAAGTGTTCCTAGGAAACCCAGGAAGCGGCACAGCCAGAATCCCGAGACAGATGGCTCCCTGCAGCCGTCCACGGTTCAGCTGCTTTGGGCCTTGGGCCTGGCATGTGGCTGGCATCCTGGGAATCCTGGCTGAGCTGAACGGCACCAGCCCCCAAAGGACGGGCTGTGGGGTGGAAGGAAATGACTCTGGGGACAGGGATGGGGCCTGGTGATAGCTGTCCCTGAACGAACTGGCCCCTGTTCCAAATGCTGCACGGGGCACTTTTACAAACACCCAGCCTCTTCCACAAAGACAGGCGGCGCCAGAACCCTTCACTGTCCCTCCAGCGAGGAAGGTGAAGTGGGCGGGGCCTCCTGTGACCCCAGAGGACAGCAGAAAATCGGAATGGAATTGTGAGGAGAGGAGAGGCACAACCCTGTGGGTGAGCAGCTAGGCGGTCGGGCAGGGCTGGGGAGCCGGTATCCGCGTCACGTCCGGCCTCCGGGGTCAAAGGCAACGGAAGCCGGCCGCAGGTGACTGTGGCATTTGTCACGGAGAGCAACATGCCCGGGAGTGGAGCGGGCCTCCAGGCTGAAATGCACAGGTCTGGCTCTCACCTCGTTCTCCGTCCGGGGCGGGACGTTTTCTAGCAAATCTATGCCGTTGACTACGACACTCTTCTTTTCTCTGACGGGAGCCTTAAATACCAGTTTCGATGACTTCTTGTAGCCTTCTTTCAAAGACATCAGCACAGGATCTGAGGAAGCCAAGGGGAAGTCTCAGCTCAAGGGGCGCAAGTGATGGGGATTTCGGCAGCCTGGCGGGGTATGGGGGAGGGGCGTCAGGAGGGAGCCTGCGCCAGGGGAACTGTGGCAAGCCAAGCCAGGCCAGAGGCCCGGGTGCAGCCCCGGAACCCTCCTGCAGAGTCCAGCCCTCGCAGTACCTCGGTTGATGCCCCCCAGCCACTCATCCGGGGTCAGAGCTGGCTCCGTGCCTGGCGTCATGGGGTAGATGTCTTCCTGGTAGGAATCCGACTGCAGGGGGAGGAGCAAAAGAGTGGGCAGCTGGGGCTTGCTGCCTGGCCGGACCTCCCGCCATGCCACTTACTTCTCTGCCCTCAACGCCCCCCTCTGACCCGAGAGCATCTCCCCGCCACTGCTCCAAAGTGGGCCTGCCGTCTGCACCCCCTGGGCCCGGTGGTGGCGAGCAGGGGGGGAGGAGTGAACGGGGTGGAGGAGCCAGGCGTGACTCACCCTCCGCGGCACAATCATGGAGATGGGCTCGATGAGACCCTTGAGCGTCACCAGCTTGTAGAAGCGAAACACCTCGCAGGCCGACACGTCCAGGCCGTGTTTGGGCATGACCCCTGGGGACAGGCACACGCGGTCCGCGGGGGCCTGGGACCCTCCTGGCAGCACCCGACCCCCTGATGTTCTCAGCCTCAGAAGGCAGAGGGCAGGGGGTGGGCTGGGGTCTCCTGACCCAGGCTCTGTCTCAGTTATCCTCGTGCCAGCCCTGCCTCCCCAGGGTGGAGACTTTGTACCTGGGCCTTTCAGAACTGGGATGGCAGAGGTGTTTGAATCTAGTCCTCTCGTCTTACAGAGGGGGATTCTGAGGGGCGGAGGACAAGGGGGTGCCTAGGGTCACATCAAGGGCACAAGTGATGGGGACCTGAGGGGGGCTCCACCTTGGCCTGCCGGAGGGTCAAAGCTTTGCTCCCGGACAAAGCTGCTCAGCATGATGGGGGAGGGGCGTGACGGGGGAGGGGCATGATGGTTCCCCGGGTGGGACTGGAGGCCTGCAGACCTGGGCTTGAGTTCTGCCTCCACTGTGTGGCCACCCTGGGGTCAGCTACTTTAACTTCTCTGAGTCCAGGGCGAGGACAGGCGGTCATCCTCGCTTCCTTTCCTCTCCTCCTCACCCCACCCCATCTCATCTGAAACCTCGGCCAGGCCTGCTGACCGCCCTGCCTCCTAAACATCTCCTGGGTGTGATTCCTCATCCAGTGCCCCCTCCCTTGCCTGAAAGCCCCCAGCTGCTTCCCCGCTGGTCTCCCTGCCTCCCTAAGCCAGAGCAATCAGAAAGTGACAGTCCGTCTCTCACCCACCGGCCCACGACTGCCCGGTAAAACCCAAACTCCTTCTGCCTGTTGCTTGCTGCATCCCCTGGGATTCGGCCCCTGACTGTTACCCTCCCCATCTCTGGCTGTGTTGTGCAGTCTCCTCCATGCTCAGCCACACCGACCTCCCCTCAGATCTTGGAGCATGCCAGTTTCGTCCTGGCCACAGGACCTTTGCACTGATGATCTCCCCTGCAGGATTACTCTTCCCCTCCTGCCTTTCAGATCTCAGCTTGAGATATCAGATGCACAGAGAGACCCTCCCTGACCACCTCCCCCGTCTCAAGCAGCTGCCAGCCACTCTGTTGTCTCGCCCCACGAGATTGTCTGCCTAGAACCCATCTGTTTATCTCCTGTCCTCCCCTTAGTGCAGTGCGAGCCTCACTGTGGCCCTGGGTCCAGCAGGCAGGGTCTGGTACCCGTGGGTGTCTGTGGATCAGCTGCAAGAAGGAGCCAGGTGCTGTGGGCACACGGTCTCCTAGCTTTCCAAAAGCCCTGCAAGGGGGGCTTGCCTTTCCCCAATTTACAGATGTGGAGACAGACTTGGAGGGATGCAGCACACAGTCTAAGCCAGAATGAAAACCCAGGCAACTCCAAAGTCCAGGCTGTGTTTTGATAGGATCCAAGGAAGGGGTGATGGTGAGAAGCGGGCGTGACAGGGCTAGGGGCAAGGTGAAACCACTGGAGCAGCCACTGGGGCCCCAGAGATCCTGGGCCTCTGTTTTGCCATTGGCCATGGAGATGGGCTCTCGGGCTCATCCAGCTGTAAGTTCCCGAGGCAGACCCTGTCTGTGACACAGATCCAGAGGGATCCACAGATCCCATGCGCTCTGAAGGGGGCACATTCGCTGATGAGCGGCTCCGCTGGGGGGCGCTGTGCCCAACTGTGGGAGCGCAGCCACCCATCGCACAGCTTCGCGACAAGACTTGAGTGGTGGGAGACTGTAGGGCTGAGGACCACCTGGCCTGACTCCCCTCCGCCCAGCAACCCCCAAGCCCTCTCTAGAGCTGGGTGCAAGAATCCCAGAGTGCAGGCTGCAGCCATGGGTCTCCCGGAACATCTACCCGTCCTCCACGGTGAGAATGGCGCTGCTGCTGGCCCTGGCTTCCCAGAGGTGCCCACGGGGTCGGGTCTAGGCCCCGCTCTGACCTTCCCCCCATCATGTCACAGCCACTGTGGGTTCAGTCGCCCCCTCCCCACCCCACCCCTGCCCCACCATGCACCGGGCAGTGAGGATACAGCGCACAGGCAGGCGGGGGACCGCTGACGTCACGGGGGCAGCACCGTAGGTCCCAGCCCGTCTTGCTTTCTTCTGCGGGGAGGAGGGGAGGTGCCCTCGCTTCACAGGTGCACGGCAGCCTCGGGCCCTTACCCAGGCCTTTCTGTGGAGCCGGGGATCGGAACTCCATGAGGTAACTCAGGTAGGGCTTCTCCGTACTGATCTCGTAGTACCGGATGTTTCCGTCCCCCTGCCGGGGCAGAGAGTGGCTGGTGAGTCAGTGCAGGGAGGGCGGGGCCCAGGGGCTGCTGAAGAGACCCTCTCCCCACCACCACCACCCCGCATTGTGCCATAGGGGGACACCTGGCAGGTGCAGGTGGGCTGGGCGGGGCCATGCGTGTGTGGCAGGTGTCTAAGCCCATCCCTAGTCCCGGCCTGCACTTCAGCTTTGAGCTCTGCCCAGTGTCAACCCCACTTCAATTTCCATCTTTCAGGAGCTCCCAGTCTCAGCATTTCAGTGACAGCCAGTGGCGGAAGAGGGTGAGGCCCGCCCCCCGCTGGGTCAGGGGACACTGCCGAGAGCCAGCGGGCTCCTTTTAGGGGGCTGTGGCAGCAGCAGGGGCGCAACGGGGGCAGGGTCCCCTCCCCACTCCACTACCTTTCCAGCCAGGTAGAGCATGTGGGTGTCGGCGTCGTAGAAGGGGAACAGGAGGCCAGAGAGGCCATCGATCTCCTCCTCGATCAGGGGCATGGACAGGTCCTCCTGTATGCGTGGGGGAGGGGCAGTGAGCCCACGTCCAGGCAGGACGGCCCAATGTCACCGCCCACATCCCAGCAGGACCCCTGAAGCTCCAGCTCCTGCGTGTCAAGGTCCCTGCAGATGGGGCTGGCGTTGTGGCGCACACAGTAAGTTGTTACCACCTGTGATGCCGGCGTCCCATACTGGAGACCTGGTTCGAATCCCTGCTGCTCCTCTTCCGATCTGACTCCCTGGGAAGGCAGCAGATGATGGCCAAGTACTTGGGCCTCTGCCAACCAAGTGGGAGACCCGGATGGAGTTCCTGGCTCCTAGCTTTGGTCTGGCCCGGCCTCAACTGTTGCGTCATTTGGGGAGTAAACTCGCAGATGGAAGATCTCTCCCTCTCTCTCTCTGACTCTCCCTGTCTCACTGTAACTCTTTCAAATAAATACATAAATAAATCTTTAAAAACAATTTTAAAAGGTCCCCGTAGATGTTTGCAAGCCTGTACTACAGGACAGCACAAAGTTGGAGGTGACGAGTGACCGGGGCCGTGGGAAGGGCTCGGTTTTCTCGAGTATCACTTCCCGACACACTGCTTCCTGCATCCCCATGTAGCTCTCAGCCCCAACGCTGGAAAAAGTGAGAGAACTTGCAGGGGTGGCTGGCTGGATACCGGCCCTTGAAGGCCTTCTTTTAAAAATTTGTTTATTGGGGGCCGGCTTTGGGGTATAGCAGGTTAATCCTCCTCCTGCAGTACTGGCATCCCGTATGGGCTCCAGTTTGAGTCCCGGCTGCTCCATTTCCAATCCAGCTCTCTGCTGTGGCCTGGAAAAGCAGCGGAAGATGGCCCAAGTTCTTGGGCCCCTGCACCCAGGTGGGAGACCAAGAAGAAGCTCCGGGCTCCTGGCTTTGGCCTGGCCCAGTCCTGGCCATTGCAGCCATTTGGGGGAGTGAACCAGAGGATGGGAGATTGATCTCTCTGTCTCTACTCCTCTCTAACTCTGCCTTGCAAATAAATTTTAAAAACTTTTAAATTGCTTTTAAAAAAAGAAAAATTTATTTTATTTGACAGGGAGAGAGGGAGAGGGAGAGAGACTCACTCATTTGCTGGTTCATTCCCCAAATGCTCACAACAGCCAGCCCTGGGCCAGGCCAAAGCCAGGAGCCAGGAACTCAATCTGGGTCTCCCACATGGCTGGCGGCATCTCCTGCTGCCTCCCAGGTGCATTAGCAGGAGGCTAGACCTCGGATATGGGACAGGCTAGACCTCTGATATGGGACACTGGCATCCCAGGCTGTGGCTTAACAGCTGAGCCCAGTGCCCCTCCCCGCGAAGGGCTTCCGTACCAAGCTCCGCCTCCGGAGGCTCTGATTCCTCAGCTGGCTGTGGCAGCCCAGGCTCCTGACTTTCTGAGGATGTCACGTCCCAGCGCCAAGGCTGCTTCGCTTAGTCCAAATCCAGCCGCTCCTCTGCCCTCGGCCCTTCCTCCACTGCGCATGCGCACTGCCCGGCTGTGCCCTCCACAGCTCTGCTGGGAACGCAGACCTGCAGTTGCAGGCCTGCGCCGTGCAACCCGCCTCGTCCCAGCCCTTTGTTTAAGAGAGGGGGACACAGGCCTTCCTGAGGTCACACACAGCACTGAGCACCTCGTGCCTCTGCTCCGGGAGGAGACCAGACGCGGGTGCCCATGACCCCGCGAGCCCAGAATCCAGCTAGCCAGGCCTGGCCTTGAGCACCCGCACAGATGAATGCTGACAAAAGCAGAGGGTTTGGGGCAGGGGAGCCAAGCTCCCTTAGTGTAAAAACACTGACTTGGCTGCCCTGTGGGGTCAGAGGAACCTTCAGGAAGGGATGGCCTGAGGGCCTCCCGAGCCCAGTGGACCCACTCGGGGACAGAGTCCCAGCGCACGCTTGTGCTACAAATGGAGACCCACTCTGCACCTGCGAGGCTCTCGGACAGCGCCCCAGCTCCAGCCAGGATGGCTCTGCCCTATCCACTCGCCACACAAGGATGGGGCCAGGGCTGAGACCCCCGGAGACCCCCTCTGTGAGCCCATCCCTCCAGCGTCCCATGAGCCGACATCTCTTCCCACCCTCCGCCTGGACCGGACACTCCGGGGCACTCACCCCACAAACCTCACCGCCCCTGCCTGGGGAGCAAGAGATGCCATGAGCGCCAATCTAGGCTCCCCAGTGTGAGAACGCCCCGCCCACCGCAGCCTCCTGGTCTCGGAGGGCCATCCGTCGCAGGCGCCACGGCTGACCTGGTCCCAGAGGGCGATCTGTCTTGTGTTCCACCTGGAGACCCCCGTCGTGAGGAGCCGCTTCATGTTCCCCAGGAACACCACCCGGTTCACTCTGTGGTTTTTGCAGCTTGCCTCCTGGTGGGCACACAGAGAGCGGGTGAGCCAGGGCCCCCGGCACTTGTGACCGGCTAGGGGCCCGCTCCTGGAGACGATTGTCTGTGTCTTCATCCCTGGGCCCTGGGGATGCTTCCTTTTGGGAGGGGGAAGAAAAGGGTCCTGGCACACGTGAACAAGTTAAGGACCCTGAGAAGAGGCGAGTACCCTAACTGTCGGAGCAGAAGGTGCAGACGCAGGAGGAGATGAGGCTGCAGGGGCGGAGTCTGGCAGGACGAGCCGAAGGCACCAGCAGCTGCAGGCAGAAGGCACCTGTTCTGGACTCCACCCTCGGGTGGGGAGCGAGGCCCTGCTGCCGCCCTGATCTGGGACCTCTGGCCCCCGGAACTCTGAGACACTGGCCTTCCATTGTATGAAGCCCCCTCCTTGTAGTCATTTGTTAACATAGCCCCAGGAAAGTAACACAGAGGCTGGGCGCACCGGAGCCCTGGGAGCCCAGGCAGCCAGCCTCCGTGCGCTTTGTGAGAGCAGCCGGCGACAGGGCAGGGGGCAGCTACCCTGGACCAAGAGTCCATCAGGGGCTGCTGCGTGCCAGGCACTGGCACGGGGGCTGGAAGGCATTGGCAGCCCCACTATGGATGGAGGAAGACGGAGGCTCGGAGCACACGGGGCTCAGGTGCCGGCTCCTTAACTCTGCCGGCCAGCCCGGGGCTCCTTGTCCTCCTAGCACACGGCCCTCCTCCTCCAGGCGAGTCAGCCTCGGGTCAGGCAGGGGCCAGAGAGGGCCAGAGCAGCGTCCCCGGGAGAGGTCCCCCACGCTTTCTGGACTTGTGTCCCCGTGTGTGGGCTGGAGTTGGGTTCTGTCTGCGCTGCCGTCCTGCCCGGTCTGCACGGCCCCTGGGGTTCCATGGCAGCTCCTCCTGTGCTGCCAGTCGACACCTCTGCAGGCCCAGAGTTACCACGTGTAAAATGGGCGGAGCGACAGCTCCCGGGGCAGAGGGCTGTCCTGAGCACCCTGGGAAAGCAGCTGATACGAATGGCACCCGCGACCGTGATTATCACGATGTGCGGTCCGAGGAGACCTCACAAAGTTCACGGGAAGTTTGCTCTGCTGCAAAAACGCTTTGCAAGCCATGCGTCTGTTTTTTTGCAGCATGCATTTTTTTTTTCTCATGAACTCCCTGAAGACCGCTCACGGCGGTAAACGTGCAACACTGGACTCCTGCAGGACAAGCACGCCCAGGTCAAGCACCAGGAGACAAACTCCAGATGAACACCCAGGAGAGCAAAAGTGAGGCTCAGCTCACCGTCAACCTCCCCACTTGCACCTGCCTGAGGACGGCTCCAAGTCCCCTCCTCTGGGTCCGTGTGGGACTTGGCAATGCCTGGACACACACGTGCTGCAGGGTGTCACCAGAGCAGGCAGAAGGAGGGGGGCATTGCCGTGGGGGTGGGGTGGGGTGGAGCAGGAAAGGATCCTGAGCCCCCCACCCCCACCCCAGAGCACGGTGGGTTTCCTATGAGCCGAGGGTAGCTCAGGCCGGATGGCCGTGGCCTGTGCCTCGGGCCTGGCTGGAAGCTGAGCCCAGGACCCCACACCTTCCCGTCCAGCTGAGACCAACATGGAGCTCCACCTGCAGGACCCGGCCGGAGCGGGGCTCAATCACGCGCAGCTTCTTGTCCTTGCACGTGGTGGTGAGCAGGCTGCCGTCTGTGTTGAAGGACAGGCACAGGATCACATCCGTGTGGCAGTCGATCATCTTCACCGGCTCGCCCACATCCAGGTTCCAGATGAGGACCTGCGAGGAGGGCGGATGCGCAGGAGGGGCGGGGGGTCAGCCCTTCTGTGATCCCTACCCCACCAGCCTGGGAGAGACCCCCCAGCCCCAGGCAGGGCCCTCCTGCCACCCAAACCCATCAATATCCCTGGTCAGGTCCCAGTCCCAGCCCCAGCCTGGACTCTGTTTCCCCAGCCCATAAGGACAGAGTTCCTGGGTGCGTCCCGGGTGGCCGGCACATCTCTGCAGCGTGCACGGCGCTGGTGAAGGCGGGCGCGCGCTTCCTCCCCTGCAGCAGCTTTGTCTGCTTCCTCTCCCTCCCAGGAGAGAGCAGCGGCCACAAAGGGTCATCAGAGGAGGCAGGAAAGAGGCTCCAGCCATGATGGGACAGGCTCAGTTGTGTATGAATGAATGAATGATTGATTGAGCAAATGTGAATGGATAAATGAGCAAGTATGAATGAATGCACGAGCAAGCAAAGGAACGGATGAGACAACAGGAAATAGCAGTGCTCCCTGTGAGTCCCCCAAAGGCCCCCCCCGTCCCTGTGCCCCCCGACAGAGGCCACCCGCGCGCCCAACTGTGCACCTTGTAGTCGTAGCCGGCACTGAACAGGATGTTGTTGGTGGTGGGGTGCCACTCGACCAGCCCCACGCGCCGGCTGTGCCCATGCAGCTCCAGCAGGGCTTCTGTCATGTTCCGCTTCAGCCCGCCCTCGGGGATCTCCCAGATCCGCACCTGTAGAGGGGGTCCGTGGGCTGAGCATGGGTGGGCAGGGCCGGGAGGAGCCCCTGCTGACAGGTGCCCCCTCCCTGGGACACCCGGCTTCCTGAGATCAGCCTCCTGGGCAGGGCCTGGGTGAGGTCTTGGGGACGCTCCAGGGTGGGACGGTTTTCTCTGCGAAGTCTGGAACCCGAGAACCACTCCTCCTGGCGTGTTGTGACTGCTGCAGTCTAGGCAGAGCGAGGACCACCCAGCAGCAGCTTCTAGCCCTGTCAACGCTCTGCTCAGCCCCAGCTCTTGTGTCTGCGCCACCTGGCCTCGTGCCCTAACTCTGTCCCTGACCCAGATTGGATGCCCCAGCAGTGGGAAATGCACCTGGCCGTGGCTCTGCTGGGGTGAGGGGCTCCGGGGTGGGGCTCCTCAGATGGGCAGAGCCTGGCTGTCGTTGGGACTTCGAGTCTTGTGCCTGCTGCTGAGAAAGCAGGAAGACATCATCCGCAGACAGACAGGGTGGTGCGCGGAGAGCAGCGGAGGAGAGACCAGGCGGCCTCAGTGTTGTTTCTGGGCAACCTTCGAATCCCCGCGCCCCAGCCCCGCCTGTCCTCTGATCACTCCCATCAGCCCCCGTGAGCTTCTCTCATGCACGCTGCACCCTGCAGATTCAACTGTGTCATTTTCACGTGGGGATCTTCGCCCCGGCTCGCCCGCGCGTAGCATCCAGTGAGAGCACCGTGGTGACAGTTCAGGGACTCTCAGTGCTATCGTTGTCATCGTTGCTACTATTGATTGTGGTTTAACAGGGCGGGGCAGCAGGTGCACGCAGGGCAAGAGCTTAAGACCCCTTTCAGACAGACCTTTTGAAAATCTGAACCCCATCCTCGCTAGGAAGGAGGAACAGCAGAACCAGCTCCGAGGTGCCATTGCTAATCTGCTAAAATAGCCACCTGCTAGCAAGGTGACGCCAGGACCAAAGCCTCAGTCGGTGTTTGGTAGTATTACAGAAATCAGTGGCGTTTTTCGGCAAGTGGCTTGGCAGTCTAGCCATATTTATTAACACTCTTTGACCGCGTAACTTCACTTGTAGGATATAAGCAAAAATCTCCAGGTATGAAGATGTTCATGGCAACACCATTTCTGCAGAAAATGCAGACACGCCCTACAGGACCAACATTAGGGGCATACTTTGGGGTCCTATCAGCTGCTGGGCTACAATACTAAAGACCACTGATAGGAGGCAGAGCGTGTTAAATACAGCCAGAGAGGCCAGGTGTTAGGGGCAGTGGCTAAGATGCTTCCCGGGACGTCTGCATCCCAAGATCTTGGACTGGCGAGCATCAAGGCTCAGCTCCGCTCTCGATTTCAGCTTCCTGCTAATTCACACCCTGAGAGGCAGCAGGTCAGTGATCGGGTTGCTGCTCCCCTCCCCGCCCCAATAGGAGACCCAGGATTGAATTGCTGGCTTCTGGCTCGGCTGTCAAGGGCAATAGTGGATGGGAACTCTCCCCCCACCCCTGGGTCTGTCTCCTCTCCCACTCTCTATCTGCCTTTTACCTAAATAAATACATTTTTTTAAAAGTGCATTTGTCCTAGTACCTAAGACAATGGTTGGGACGCCCGTATCCCATTTTCAGAGTACTTGGGTTCAAGTCCCGCCTCTCTTTCCAATCCAGTTTCCTGTTAATGTGCACCCTGGGAGGCAGCAGGTGATGGCTCAGTGCTTGGGTCCCTGCCACCCATGCAGGAGACCTGGATGGAGTTCCTGGCTCCTGGCTTCAGCCTGGACCAGTCCTGAAGGGCCATGAGAGTGAACCAGTGGATGACAGCTCTCTGTGTCTCTCTGTCTGCATCTTGCTCTCTTTCTCTTGTTGTCTCTCTTTTAAATTGAAACTAAAAAGCAGGGAGGGAGGGAGGAAAGGATGGGAGGAAAGACAGCAGCCAAAGGCAGAGCCCAGGGCCAAGGAGCACGGCTGGGAACTGGGCACCACGAAGGGAACCCCCTTCGGGAAGGTGCCTCCTCCTGAGACTGCAGAAATGAGCCTTTTCCTCACGTGTGTCCCCCAAAGACCCAGCGGGTGCACCTGTCGCCTGGGAGGCTGTAGCGTGAGAAAGGCAGGCTCAGGAGGTAGGGTCATCCTTAGGAGCAGCGGTCTGGTCCCAAAACTGCCGGGAAACATTTCCCAGTGGAGGACGGTTTCAAATGTAACCTCTCCCTTGGGTGCCCCCAGCCTTCCAGGAGAGCCTCACCCTCCCTGGCAGTCCTCAGGCTGGGGTAGGGCAGGATGGGGGAGAGGAAGTGACATAAAGGGGGCCCCCCATGCCCTGTGGCTTCTCCTTGACAGCCCCTGTGCAGGGCTGGTCAGCGCTGAGGACTGGGCTGCAAATGGCCGGAAGGCAGGGACACGCTACTGGGTATGCGACTCAGGCATCACCAGCAAGACACATGCACCTCCGACCCCCGAAGGCAGCGGGGGAAGGTGCTGCTTGCAGTGGGGACACTAATGCCTGGGTTAGGTGTACACACGCATAACACACTTCACTCTGTTTCACCCAAAAGGGATGCTCTTACCCCTATTTTAAAAAAAAGGTTTATTTATTTATTTGAAGGCAGAGTTACAGAGAGAGAGGGAGAAAAAGAGAGAAAGGGGGAGAGAGGGAGGGAGGGAGGGCGAGAGAGAGAGAGAGACAAATGAATATTCCATCTGCTGGTTCACTCCCCAGATGGCTGCAATGGCTGGGGATGGGCCAGGCTAAAGCCAGGAGCCAGGAGCTTCTTCCAGTTCTCCCACATGGGTGCAGGGACCCAAGTTCTGATTCTTTCCCAGGTGCATTAGCAGGGAGCTGGATAGGAAGTGGAGAAGCCGAGAATCAGACTGGAGCCCATATGGGATGCAGGAGTCACAGGCAGCAGCTTAACCCAGGAGGTCACAACGCCAACCCCAAAAACTACACCTTTCAAAAACTTGATTGTAGTGGCCCATCTGGTGGGCCAAACACAACTTCTCACTGTTGTTTGGATTTGCCTCTTCTTGGTTCTTAGAAACAGCGGGCATCTCTTGTCCTGTTGGTTGGTCACTTTTGTTTGTACTTGTGTTGGAAGCTCTAGAAGCTGCTGGATGCAAAGAAGTGGAAAGAGGCCAAGAGGGGATGGGCTGTGACAGGGTGGTTAAAGCTGACACCTGCAGTGCTGGCATCCCATGTGGGTACCAGTTTGAGTCCCGCTGCTCCACTTCTGATCCCGCTCTCTGCTATGGCCTGGGAAAGCTGTGGAAGATGGCCCAAGTGCTTGGGCCACTAAATCCGGGTGGGAGACCAGGAAGAAGCTCCTGGTTACTGGCTTCGGATCTGCTGAGCTCTGGCCGTTGTGGCCAATTTGGGGGTGAACCAGTGGATAGAAGAACCTCTCTCTCTTTCTCTCTCTCTCTCTGCCTCTCCTTCTCTCTCTTTGTAACTCTGACTTTCAAGTAAATAAATAAATCTTAAAAAAAAAAATGCTGGCAAGAAGGTGTCTGGGGACACTGAATTCTGTTTATGGATACCTTGTGCTGCATTTAAAAATTTTAATTGTGCGTATTTATGGGATACAGTGGGATAATCTGATATTTATACAATGGCTGATCAAATCAGGTTAGTTAGCATTTCCATATCCTTAAACATCTTAAAAACTGTTTTTATTGGGGTGAGCATTTAACCATCTCCTATCTTGGAGGGCCTGGGTTCAGTACCCGGCTCTGGCTCCTGTCTCCAGATTCCTACCAATGCGCACCCTGGGAGGCAGTGGTGACAGCTCAAGTGACTGGGCCTCTGCCACCCACGCGGGAAACCCAGAGTGAGTTCCCAGCTCCTGGCTTCCTTGTGGGAATTTGGGAATAGGAGTGCTCGCTCATTCTCTCTCATCTCTCAAACAAATAAATTAAAAATGTTTAAAAAATGCTTTGATGGGGTAGACATTTCGCAGAGTGGTTACAAATCTGTGTGGCTGCAGAGGGTGGTCCAAGTCCTGCGCCCACGTGGAAGACCTGGATGGAGCTCCAAGCTCCTGGCATCAGCCTGGCCCAACTCCAGTCACTGTGGCCATTTTGGGAGTGAACCAGAGGATGGAAGATCTTTTTCTCTGCCTTTCAAATAAATAATTTTTTAAAGATGCTGCTCAGAACGCCCACATCCCACATCAGGGTGCTTGGCTCTGAGTCCCGACTCCACTCCGGACTCCAGCTTCCTGCCAACGTTTACCTGGGGCTGCAGCAGGCAGGTGATGGTCCAACAGTTGGGCTCCACTAGCGAGAAGCTAGAACAGGATTGAGCCAGGACTGGAACCTACTCAGACACGGGATGTTGGGGTCCCAATGGCTCGGCCAGATGCTCAGCCCGGTGTGGAGCCTCTGAGGCTCTCTCTTCGATTCGCACATGAGGCACGTGACAGTCCCTGTGGCCTGGGGTCGCCCCACTGTGCCCAGGAGCACTCAGGGTTACTTTGTCCACCTGCGCTTGGGTACTGTGCTCCTGCCTCCCTCTCCCCTCTCCTCTCCCTCCCTCTCCCCTTCAGTAATCACTCTCTTCCATTCAGGCCAACTTTCCTGCAGCCTCCACCCGTGACACAGAACATGCAGGGTTTGTCCTGCTCCAGCTTGTGGCTGGCAGATGACGCATGCCCACCCAAAGTCTGGCCCTTGGTGCCAAAACGTTGACCAAGGTAGGGGTCCATTTCTGGCCATCGTGCAAGCCCTTTAGAAACAAAAATCAGCCTGGGGATGGGGGGGTGCAGGGACTCTCCATGGGTGGAGTCGGGCCAGGGACCCTGGGAGGAACAAGGTTAGAGAGAGTGGACCCTGGGCCAAGGTTGCAAAGACAGGCGGGGCTGTGGGGAGGGGAGAGGGGACAGAAAAAGTGATGAGTGTGTGTGAGTCTGGCAGCGTGGGGACACTGCAGCAGCTTAGCCTGGCTGGTGTGGTGCAGAGGGGGCCGGGGGCCGTGTGTCGCACCTGTCACCATGGCCAAAGAGTCTCAGGAAAGACCCC